TAGCCTCAGATTCCTTATTTGTACAATGGAGGTTCTCCTGCTTACTTGTTGGAGTTTTGGGCATGGAATGAGGTGCTCAGGTACACAAGGCAGCTCAGTGAATGGTCACCGTGATTTTGGAGATGGGGGCAGAAGTTCCGGGTAGTAGTGCATCCTTGTTTTCCCTCTCTCACCTGAGAATCAAGCCCGACCCCCTCTTTGTGGCTGATGACTTTGATACCATGAGAGCAGCTTCTCCTACACCCTATCCTACTAAAGTTTTCCTCCAAAACTTACCAGCCAAACGTGCATCTCATTCCCTCAGGCCTCTGCTCTCCAGCTACGGAGAGTTATGGATTAAACCTTGTGAATGACGGCACACCTGAGTCCGTAAGCTGATCAGATGTCTGTCTCGGCTCTGCACTGGACACAGCCCTGATGAGGTCAGTTAAACTAGACTGTGAGCACCTTGAACATGGGCACCATGCGTTGTTTGCCTCTAACTCTGGAGCACTCCGCACAAAATTAGGTGGTCAATAAGCACCAGTCAGACAAAACCTTGGAGTTTCACTGGTTTTCTTAATTCAATGTAAGGCACCCAAAGGCAGAACCGTATCTGCTAGTTCAGTGTTGAATCACTTCTGCTTGGATGGTTGAATGAAATGAATGAATGAATGAATGAATGAATGAGCCAAGGAGGAAGATAAGGTCTCGCTTTTCGGTGTAATGGAGCAGTACTGAGCAGGTAACAGGATCCACAGAGAGGAGGTGCCCCTCCAGCCCGGAGCTGTCGGTGGCTGGTCTGATGTGCCCTCTTCATTGGCGTACACCCTGCAACAGGGCCCCCTCCAGCGCTGCTGCCTTGATGGATCATCTTCCTTGTGATAAACAGGAAGGAAAATCATTATGGCACAAGTGCCTTGTCATCCCACATGCCTCTGCCTTTGATGGATGTTCTCCGTTTATGGAGTTGTCGGCAGAAACCTAGAGGAGATGATTGCTCTCCAGCCTTAACCTGGGGCGAGTTCATCATTAAACAACTCCTGGGCTTTGCACGGCTCTGCATTCATCTTTTTCTCACAGGGATGAGAAAGAACAGGGTTTTTGTGACTTCAAGACAGAGAGAGCTGCCACTAATTGCTCTTTTTATCATCTGTGCGGAGTAGATAAGAGGTTCTGCCATCAGGTGGACGGGTGCGTGGAACTGCAGGAGACTTTAAACACCTTTGGAGGGAGAGTGTGGCATGAGGTAGCAGAGTCGATACATATTCAATAACCCTGCCATGAGAGACCTGAGCGCCTGCCTCGGAGAATCGCCGGCCTGTTCTGTACCCGGAGACACGTGCAGGATACAATGTTCTGTGGGTGGAATACCTCGTCGAGGAATGATATATAAAAAGATCATTAGGTACAATCCTGTTCATATGAAATTCAAAACCAGACAAGATGTAATCTATTGTTTGGGTTTGCACACAGAGGAAGGAAAGCTATAAAAATCAGAAAATAACCTGGAAGTTAAAATAGTGATCATGTCTGGGGGAGAGAAAGGTTTTGCGGTCAAGGAATATTAGCCATATTCTATTTCTATCCCTGGGGGGTGATTACATGTATGTTCATTTTATAAAATACTCAAAACGACCTCTGGGCTTTGTTTAATGTGCCTATTGTCAGGTCCCTGGTGATTTGGACTTCGTAGGTAAGAGACTAATATGATTCTTTGGATAGAAAAGTTTTGGAGAAAAATTGTTTAGAGCATGTAACGTTCTTGCTTAGCATCCGGATGGCCATCTTAAGTGACAGCTGCCATTTTTAAGAAGAATTTCACTTTCCCACACAAGGGGGTTTCTAAGAGAGGCTCACCACTCCCTCATACCAACCCCACCCTTGACCACCGGCATTAGTACCCGCCCGGCTCTAATCCCTGAGTCTGCCCCGTAAAAGTCCTGAACCCCAAGCCTGTTTTGCCTCTGTCTGTCTGTGGAGAGATGTGCCTTTGTCAGCTCTGACACGTAAACTCCGCGTGTGTCTCTGCCTGGTCTCCGTCTTTCCTTTCTTGCCCACCCACCTCCTGGTCCCTTGCTTTCCCTTCAGGTACAGCCTGGACATTCGAATCTTCGCTCAGCTGAGTTGCGAAGCACTGGTTTAGGTTAGTGCTTCCTAAATTGTAGTGTGCATCTGGATTACCTGAGGACCCCATTAACAGGCAGGTGGGATTCTGGGGGGCTGAAGAGGGGCCTGAGATTCTGTATTTCCCACGGTTCCTAAGGGATTCTGATGCTATTCCTGCAGAGTAAAGTTTGCATAGGAAAGGGTTAGCGCCTTGGGAGTCAGACTGGAGTTTGAGTCTCACCTTGGACACTCAATCACTGTTCCCAGGGGCAGTAACTAGGCCTCTCTGAGCCTCAGTGTAGTCATCTATACATTGTGAGTAGTGATAATAGTCTCAACCCTCAGGGTGACTGTGAGGGTCCAGGGAGTTGAGTTCCAGGTAACACTGGAGCAGAATTTCAGGCAGGGAGCAATCTCCGGGAAGGCCTCCTCCTTGCAGTGGTCCATGCTTGCTGAAGACCTCCCTGTCCTGGAGTTGCTGAGGGAGGCATGTCACTCCCTCAGTGTACACACACACACACACACACACACACACGCAGGTGCATATACATGTACACCTGCACATAAAGGTGGTCCTTTACTTACGGTGGGTTACAATAGGCTCAACCTAGGTTGAAAATATCACAGGTCAACAAGGCACTTAGCAGGCCTGATCTGCCACACACGACAGCTTAGTCTAGCGTACCTTAAACATGTTCAGAACACTTAGATTGGTCGATAGTCAGGCATCTCAAGAGAGTATATATAGCATTGCATATTTCTAGCCCAGGAAAAGATCAAAATACCAAATTCAAAGTAGTTTCTCCTGAATGCATATCACTTTTGATTTATCATAAAGTTGAAAAACTGTTACATCAAAACATCATAAGTCAGGGACTACTTGCCTGTTTGTATATGTCTGTGTGTGTGTGTGTGTGTGTGTGTGTGCGCGGGCATAGTCAGTGCTCAGCAAAGATCGGTAATTGAATGAATATATTTAGCCAGAGACAAACAGGCAAACTTACATACATAAATACATGCACACATACATACGTATACACACGTGTGTATATATGCATGTATACATATGTGCCTGCTTGTTGTCTCTTCCTGGTCCTAAATGAATACCACAGGCAGGTAACACACATAATAGTACCTGAGTGTTATGTGTGCATATATAATGACACGCGGTTGCACATTTGCACGTTCACATATCCATGTGTACCTGCTCACCCGCGGTCGTCTGCCACCTATGACTCCTCTGTTCACTCAACGCATCTTGCTGGCGCCTGTTGTATTCCAGGCACTTCTCTAGTCCCTGGGGACACATCCAGGAACAAAAGACGCCAAACATCCCTGTCCCCATGGAGCCTATGACAGGGACAGGGGACAAAGTGAAGGACATTGTCCTAAAGTCACACGGGAGGTAAGAAGGTGATATGTGCAGGAGAAGCAGAGCGGAGGGAGGATATGGCAGGGTGCGTCTCCATCGGTGGCCAGGGAAGCCGCCCTGAGCCCGGGACACTTGAAGAACTGAAGAGGAACGGTGAGCTGGTGTCCAGGGAGGGAGCTCCCCAGGCCCAGGGAGGTCGGGGCAAGGCCTGGAGCATTTAGGGGGGAGGGAGGAGTCCCGAGCAGCTGAGGGACAGTGACAGGGAAGGGCAGAAGGTGCAGTCAGAGTGGCCCAGGAGGTTGGCCCTCTATCTGAAGGAGAGAGGGAGCCAGTGGAGGGTGTGGGCGGAGCACAGCAGGATCTGGGTGTGTTTTCTACAGAGTGGGCCTGTTGTGCCCAGGAAGGACTCCAGGGGGACTGGAAAGACTAGCTGGGAGGTCCTACAGCATCTGGTCCCTTAGCCCACAGAGGAGCAGAGGAGGCACCCCAGGGCTGCTGTGTGCAGTTGGGCGGGTCGGGCGTGGCACATCTAGGGGAAGGGATGTGGTGGGAATGGCACCCTGAGGGGCTGGTCCCTGTGTACAGGGACCCTGTCAGAAGCGGCAGGGATGTCGTGCTGCTCCGTCCTCTGTTCCTGGTGCGCAGGCCGCGTGTCGTACCGAGTGGTGCTCAATAAAAACGTGTATGTGGATGCTCTGCCTGCCCAGTCTCCTCGTGCTTGGAAACGCAGGGGAAGCAGGTGACTCAGTGAAGGCTGAAGGGTGTTTTGGCAGATTTGCAAATGTCTCCATTTTTCTTTGATGGCCACTCTGAGTGCCCTGGTATGAAAACCCCTTTGCACTTCAAAACACTATCATTTTATGTCACCAGGTGCCAACCAGCTTTTCACAGCATTCTTTGCAGAGAAGAAGGAGGAAGTAAACTTTATTCTACTTCGTCATCCCCTCCTCCCAAGTGTCACAGCTGAGTCACCTCTCACTCGATGATCTGTTCTGGATGCAATTAAAGTTAAATCGCCTTTGGGACCAGAACAGTCTCATCTTTATTTACAGGACCTGCAAATCAAGCAGCTCCTCCTAATTTTAACAGTTCCTTCAGTGGCAAAAAAAAAAAAAAATCTCTTATTCAAAGGAACAGGTGGGGAAGTGATAGAGTGGTTACAGAATGTCTTCCTGGGAATCAAATGGAGGGAGACTGACTGACCAAGAGAGGTGCAAATTGGTGCCATGAAAGTAGACACCCCACGTATTCTGGGTTCAAATCCAGCAGCTGCCTCTGATCAGTTGCATGACCTTGAACAGGTCACGGAAACTTGCTGAGCCCCAGTTACCAATAAATGAAGAGGGAGCAAAGTCTGGTCGACCATTCAAGAGGACTGTGAGAACCAAGGGATCATGTGTGAGAAAGTTCTTGAAGTGAGGGGGACTACAGTATCTGAAATCAATAACCAATAATCAACTTATTATTTTAGTTGTCAAACACATTGTATAGTTTGTTCAAAATCCTTCTCATTTTGCAGTATTATGCTAGGATGCCTTACCTCCATGTCTTTCGCTCCTTCTCCAACAGATCCACTTAGTAAACACTTCCCATGTGCATCTTCTAGTTGGGAACCTGGCCCATGTGGTTTCTGCCCTGAAGCAGCTTGCAAGCTAGTGGGAGAGAGGCAAGGAGGGAAAAGAGCATTTGCAGAGCTGTGTGACGGCCACTCTCCCACATTCTAGGGAGGGAACGTGTTGGGACTGTGAACTGTAATAGACTAAATAAGACCCAAGGGCCAGGGTGGCCTTCCTTCACCAGAAGGAAGCCAGCAGAGGGGACACCTGATTCATTTTCTCTCATCTTGACCCTCTGTGGGTGTGCAGCTCTGTAACAATGCAGGTTCTGCTCCCCTTGGATCATCAAGATGACTTCTCTAGAAGATCCAGGCTCGCACGGGCCTTGGATCCATTCTCTGACTTAGAACTTAATATAGGTCCAAAGGCCTCCCTCCTGGTTTAGAGAATAAACTGGTTCCTTGCTCTTCTGACTCCAGAAGGAAAGTTGGGGGAACAAAGTCTGCTTCCTGTCAGGACCACGCTGGGCCCCTCTCCTGGGTGAACAGAATCCCAGCTCTGCCGTGCACCCCTTCTACCAAATCCTTCGGATGACAGTCCTCTTTAGAAATCCCTATCCATCCATCACTCGGTGACATTCTTCCCATCAATAGAATCCCCTGGAGCTGGACCCCCTCAGACAGAAGGCTCTGCCTCCAGGGGACTGGCAGCCTCCCGGGAGTTACCATGAAAAGCTCATTAGCAAGCCCAGGCAATCACATTTACATTGCTAATTGAGGAAGAAAGCCGCCACAAGCCCCAGAGTGAGAATTATTGAACAATATGAAGGAAAAACTTTGGCATTCCTCGGGGAGTGACAGTGTCTGCAGCCATAAAGGGCCGCTGGGCCCGATGCTAATGGAACAGAAGCTGGAAATGGGCACAGAAGAGCATCAGGAGACTCCAGAGGTTCTTGATGACTTCTGATGTGCAACTCTGAGACATTTCAACGCAGTGGGACTTGGTTGAAGTGGGGCAGGTGGCAGATAGGACTCGTTTCTTGGATGAGTTCTCATAGAACCTACAAGGAGGTCTGACCTGAACTGGTTCTGCTGTTGTTCAAAGGACTGACTTGGCTCAGGAAGATGCCCTGGTCCCTCCTCTGCAGAACCTACACTTCCACCGTCACCCTGGTTTGTCCTGGGACCCTCTGGGGAGGTCAGATTATTCACTTGTGTGTCATGAAAGATCATGACACAAGCTCTTCCCCTCCACCAAGGGCAGCAAAGCCAAAGGAAACCACTACCCTCTCCAAAAATGACCTGAAAACAAACTCTCTCATGCTGATTATGGGCTCTGTATGACTTTGACCCTTGTCCCTTGTACAGATAGAGGACCAAATGCAAAGTCTTCAGAGTGAGGGTGTTTGGAAAAATCTTACTAGGTTCTCACTGAGTCCATTTTCCTTTGCTATAACAAAATACCCAAAGCTGGGAAATTTGCAAAGAAAAGAGGTTTATTTATTTAGTTCAAAGTTCTGGAGGCCCTGGAGCATGGAATCAGCTTCTGCTTGGCTCTGGTAAGGCTTTTCTGGTTCCATCACAACATGGCAGACAGCATTGAGGTGGGAGGACATGTAAGAGGGAGAGAGCACATACTCAGATAGGAAGCCAGAGAGCTGAGGGGCCTGGCTTGCTCCTTTATAATGACCTTCTCTCATGGGAACTGAGGTCCCACGAGAACCACATTAATCCCTTCCTAGAGCAGGGATTAAAGGACTCTTAAAGGTCTTACTACCTCCCAACATCACCACTTTGAGGACCAAGATTCCAACATATACACCTTTGGGGACACACCCCACTTCCAAACCATAGCAGGAGGTATGGGAGAACAGGACCAAGCCTGCGGTCAGAATCAGATGTTCTATTTTGAGCCCGGTAGATTTTTATTATTTAGGGGGCTACCGGGATTGAACTCAGGGGCACTCGACCACTGAACCCCATCCCCAGCCCTACTTTGTATTTTATTTAGAGACGGGGTCTCACTGGGTTGCTAAGCACCTCGCTTTTTGCTGAGGCTGGCTTTGAACTCATGATCCTCCTGTCTCACCTCCCAAGCTGCTGGGATTAGAGGAGTGCCCCACCGTGCCCCGCAAGCAAGGTATATTTTGATGATATTTTCCTTAACTCTTTAAATTAAGCTGGACCATATAGAGAATTAAGGATTAATTAGAGTTTTCCCAGATGGGGACTGTTGGAAAGAAGGGGGTCAATGGCTAGACATATGGCTTCTAGCTTCATTTTAACGTGAAGTGTCCCTTTCCCCTTCTTTAGCTTTAAACTATGAGAAACTTCAAACATAAAAATTTCAAGAAATCATAGTGATCCTCACACTATCTCCATCCACCCTCAACAACACTGAACCATGGCTGGTCTTGTTTTATCAACACGCCTACGCACATCGCCCCCCTCCCTTGAGAATAAGTTAAAGCTAATCCAGGATATAATGCTATTTCATTAGTAAGATATTTCTATAAGACTCTCCAAAAGATGCAGGCAAGATTTGATCCCTGCACCCTTTATGTATGCATGCAAATATCTCACTGAACCCCTTATATGAACAATTCGTAGGTCAATAAAATTGTTTTAAAAATAAAACAAAAAGAGCTATTTTAGAAAATATAACCACAACAATACCATTAACACACCCCCAATTAGCAATGATTTCCTAATTTTATCAGATATTCCAGGAAATGTTTCCTGCTGTGCCATGTATTCTTTTTATATTGTATTCCTTTGAGTGAGGACTGATTCATTTTTCCTCATATTGACTCTCTGTTGGTGTGCAGCTCTGTAAGTTTTGGCATGTGTGCAGATGAGTCCTTGTGGCCACCAGCCTAATCAGGTTACAGACGATTCTATCAGCAGAGACACCCTTGACAACCACACATCCATTCTCCATTGCTACCGGTAGCCTGTTCCGGGATGTCCTGTGAATGCAGACACACAGGATGCACCCATAGGAACACCACCCCGATCCAGGCATAGAATATTTCCACCATCTTAGAAAGTTCTCATGCTCTTGCTACTTTAAAAAAAAAAAAAAAAAGCTTGGAAACCTCTGGAATCAAAGGTATCATCATATGCTCTTGATTTTTGTGGGACAGTGAATTCTCTCAGTTCCCAAATCCTCAACTGCTCGTGAGAGGCCAAGTGGACTCCTGAACAGGGCAGCGCCATGGAGACTGGACAGGGGGCTGGAGAGAGAGAGAGAGAGACTTGACACCAGTTTCTTGTAGGGGGAAGGTGTTCTTCTGGGTTTGGGCGGGTAGGCCTCCTGGCAGAACCCTGTGGGCCAGCCAGCCAGACTGCAACTCCCCAGGAGCCGGGGCATTGTGTGAGCCTGCCAACGCAACACTCGCAGCCAGAGACAGCAAGCATATTTCTTAAAAGTCAACTTGATCTACCTCCTGGAGGGGAGGCTGCATGTCCATGTGCCAGTCACATTAGAGCAGTCAATTTCCTGCCAGCAGTTGGTGGGGAAGGAAACCTATGTGGGCTGTGAGGGGCTCCTACCTGCCAACCTCCCCACCCAGCCTCAGCTGCACCCCCCGTCCCTGCCTGAATCACACACAGCCTGGGCCTCCCTTGAAAGCAGTCCCTCTCTCACTTGCCCAGGAAAATGTAAATTCAGAAGAATAAGCTGTTGGCTTAATTTAATTTGCCCCGATGGAAGTTCTCCGGGTGTGATATGGTAGGGAACCATGTGTGGGCTGGTGGATCTCAGGGAGGCATAGTTGTTCTAATGTCTTTTGGCCACTTTAGAAGCAAATGGTTGCCCCTGGAAACAGCTATCCGTTTGAAAATGGTAAGTTATGAAGATTCCCCATCCTTCTTCACGTTTGAATTCATGAAACTGTTAACTTGACTTTAATAGTGGCGGATAATTCATAGAGGGTGCTAAGCTCCACAATGAACCCTTTTAGAGGAGAAGAGGGTGACGTGACCATCCACCATTTAGCAATCTCAATAGTAACAAATCACACGCATCAAGCCCAGGAGAGTACTTTAGAAAACATACCTTTTGCAGCTCAAGTCTCAAATCTCAAACCATACAAAAGCCACCGACGACCTGCACCGGTGTGTTGTGGGGTTGCTTCTCTTTTCCTCTTAGTTTGTTACCTGCATCTCCCCAGGGCCGAGTCCCCCAGTATTGGTGCAAATGCCTTCTCTTTGTGGTGACACGGAGAGGAACTCCTCGCTGCTGGCTTCTCTCCGGGATCTTTCACCCCTCCCTTGGCTACCTTCCCCATTCTGTCTCTTAAACTCAGCATTTAGAAATGGGATGTCAGATGCCCAGCCACACTGGGTTCTTCTGTGGTAAGGCCACCAAGGCTGAGTTAAAGGAAGGCAGTGGCTTTGGATCTTGTGGGTAGAGCATCTGTGGCACTGGACAGTTGAACCATTTATGCCGCCATCTTGGTCCTCTTGCCTCTTCCGTTTGGCATTATCATGCTAAAAGAATTTCTCTCTCTCTTTTTTTTCCCACCTTGAATTACATCACCAAAGGAGCTTCTCCATTTGACAAATTATCTTTGGAATGTCCAGGACCCAGGAGAGAGGGTAAAGGGAGGAACACGACCTGGGCGCTGTACTGACGTTAGCCCAGAGTGGAAATAAACTCCTTGGCAAGTGTAACTCTTTAAAAATGATAGCAGCACAAGGGCTTTAAAATGAAATGTTTCTTCAACAACTTGAGAGTCTATTTAAAAATATGGGCTGGGGGTCCTTCTTTCATCTGGAAGCCAGGCCCAGATTTCTACATGTTTATCAAGTTCACTGGGGTGATTCTTATTAGATTCAGGAACCACAGCTTTGGAGAACTCATCTGCTTTCCAAGTGGGAAAGACAAAAACCACTCCATCCAAGGAAGGGGTTAAAAAAGAAGAAACACTGAGCAAAGCAGGAAAGGTTATTCCCAAAGACCCAGTGGGAAGAGGGAAGCTGATTATAATAGGAGAAATCTGGAAAGTTACATTAACAACAAAATGCAGATAATGAATGAGCTATTTAAGAAAATTAGATTCTTCGATGCTGAATTAAGAATATTTGGAGGCAAGGAAAATCACACTGATTCCCAGCTGAAAACTAGGGAAACAATATTCAGATCATTGATAATTTTCCACAGGAGTGAGGAAAACAAGAAGGTATTTTCCCGTGAGCCAAGGCAGGGCGTAACATATGCAGCTCCTAGTAATAGAGACACATTTTTGGTGATTTGGAAACTTAATTCTTTCTAACTTTAGGCTTCTGTGCAGACAGAAATCTTGGTGATTTTTTTTTTTTTTTACAAGATAGACATAAACTTTTACTACTCTGTGGAGTAGAAATGAAAAGCTGTTCCATTGTTCCAAAGTGGAAGGTGATTATTTCATCAGTCAATCATTCAACAATTCTACAAGTATTTATCGAGTGCCTACTACCTGTTAGGTATAGTGCTAGCCCCTTGTGATGGACAATGGAGACTGAATGCCTGTATTGGTTATTAATTTCTATGTACCAAAGTATCCCCAAATTTAGACTAACCCACTGACTGTAACTCACATCTTCTGTGCGTCAGGCATGACAAAGCATTTTAGCTGCAGTGTTCCAGGTTAGGGACTTTCATGAGACTGAAATCAAGTCATTGGTTGAGGACATGGTCATCAGAAGGCTTTGTGAGGCTTGGGAGTTCCATTCCTAGGTGGCTGGCTCCTATGGCTCCAGGCAGGAGACCTCAGGTTCTTGCTGAGCAGGCCTCTCCGTTGGGTGGTTTGTCCAGACAGTGTGACAGCTGACCTTTTCCAGAGTGAGTGACCCAAGAAAGGGCAAGGGGAAGCTGCAGTTATAGAATGACCTCAACTTAGAAGTCACCTACTGTGCCTGTCACTGCCATATTCTATGCCTTTCAAGTGAGTCGCCAAGTCCAGCCCATGCTCAAGGGAAAGAGCGTTAGGCCCTAGCCTTCTCCTGGAGGAGTACCCAAGCATTTGTGGACATGGTTTTAGACCACCACACCCCACTTCACACCTGCCTGGTGATGGATAGGTTCAAATGCAACCTTATTACTGATACATAATCAGGCCGAGCCAACCAGCCCACCACTCTTAGGCCTTGTTTCCACAGTGATTATTATACAGTTGATTGTTGGCCATGGCCAAACATGAGCAATGCTTATGTTAGAATAACTAGGGAGAAGGTAGCTTTTAAAAAGTACTTGTATCTCCTACTTCCAGAAATTCTGACTCAGGTGGTCTGGCATGAACCCAGGTGCTCAATCACTGACCCCCACAAACTGAAAAATGATTGAACCATTAAAGCAATTGGCCATTGGATACCATCTTAGTCTTTATTCCGTTGCATAATTTGGTGAGCTCCCCAGGTATTTTTGTGGCCTTTGTCACCATTTTATCCATTTTTAATCATTCTGTACATATTCTGGTTTAGTTTTCTTATTTACTTTGGATCCAGTTTTTCAACTATATTAGAGTTTGACATATCGATGTTTCCTTACAACTCCATCCTGCATTCACACATCTAAAGGAATAATCTTAACTCCAACAAAATTGGCTTGAAGCATGTGTGTGCTATGTGGAAATGTCAGGAATGCTATAATTATATTTTATCAGGTGAAGTTTAACATTTTAATAGGCAGTGTCTAAGACTGATTTGACAGGGTGTTTTTGGATGGTGAGATGGATGCTCAAAATAAGAAAACACCACTCAGATACTAAATGAATCATTTCTGCCAGACAAGTAGGATTGGAGCTATTTCGAAGGACATGTACATCTTTCTGAAGTGCTGTCCTCTTTTAATGTGTGTTCATTAAATCTGATTTGGAAGTTTGAGAAAATAACCCTTCTGTGGCTTGTTAATCATTACAGAAGAGGAGTGAACGGTTGGCAGAGTTCCAAAAGTCCTTACCTGGGTGTTTATTTTATCTCACCATGAGTATAATTCACCAAAATAGCAAGAGTTTAAGCAACTTCATCAGCGGCACAGCTCCATCCATCCTGTTGTGTGTCAAGACATAATATCAACCAAATTGGATGAATGGGTTCATTATAGCCACCCTATTTATTATCATGATTCTCTCATGGGAGGGAATTTAATTTACTTGGGTTATTCGGCTGATGTGTGTTGTCTTTGTTTTGTTTATAAATGGGACAGTCATGATTCCCTTGCCTTTAAGTTAAGTCTTTCATCGGAAGCATAATTTTGCACATTAGTTGATAAATAGACGAGCTAGGCATTTTATATGTGAATGCAGCCATGCCAGCTCTTTCATGAAATGCTGCTTTTTCAATCTCAAAGAAAGAGTGCTTTTTACCCCCATGGGATGCTATACAGATCCCCCTTGGATATACTGATGATCAGGCTACAACATCTGCCATCCCAGGACTGCCAGGTTTGACTCAGTTGATCTCACTGCTAGCTCCTTCTTTCTCTCCACAGCATTCTATGGGAAACAGAGCAGAAGGTAAAGGGGTTGGAAGTTAGACCTGAGTTTGAGTCTCACCTTGAAAGCTCACTGTATTTTATTCTGGGAAATTTACTTCTCGGCCTTTCATAGACAATTATTAGCATTAGATTAGTGCACACATGTTGGTTTCTGTTTCTCTTGTGTATTTCCTCCCTATCTGGGGTCCTCTACTGGCTACAGCTCATGTTTTCTAGGGAAACTTTCATTCTGCAGTACCCAAACCCTCCACAAGGGTGGACATTGGGTCAAAGAAATTCCAAATAGTATTTTATCAACGGAACTTGATAAAATAGAGGTACTAGTCCACTGTTTTATTATACAGTGACTGTTGGCCATGGCCAGACATGAGCAATGCTTATGTTAGAACAACTGGGGAGAAGGTAGCTTTTTGGGAGTTCCATTCCTAGATGAAAAAAATGTTCATCATCTCTAACAGAGAAATTCAAATCAAAACTACTCTAAGATATCATATCACCTCAGTCCAGCTTCCATTGTTGCTGCTAAAAAGTCATCAATAATTGTTATTTTTTTAAGGTAACACTTCTTTTTCTTGTGACTATTTTTAGAACTTTCTCATGGCTGTTGGATTTTAGAAGTTTAACTATCTTGTGTCTAGGGTTTGTTGTTTGTTTGTTTGCTTTTTGTATTATTCCTACTCAGGGTTCTCAGAATTTCTTGAATTGGTGATGTGATGTCTTAGGTCATTTTTGGAAAATTTTCTTCAAAAATGGCTTCTCTGATGCCCCAACAGTCTCTTTTCCTTCCCCTGTTGGCCATATAATTGCCTAGGAATTAAACCAGAGACTCTGTGTCTAATAGAAGAAAAAGTAGGCCCTCATCTTCATCATGTGGGATTAGGCCCCAGCTTCCTTAATAAAACTCCTATAATGCAAGAATTAAAACCAAGAATCAATAAATGGGATGGATTCAAACTAAAAAGTTTTTTTCTCAGCAAAAGGAACAATCTGTGAGGTGAATAGAAAGCCTACATCTTAGGAGCAAATTTTTACCCCTCACACATCAGATGTAACACTAATCTCTAGGGTATAGAAAGAACTCAAAAAGCTAAGCACCAAAAAAACAAATAACCCAATCAATAAATGGGCCAAGGACCTGAACAAACACTTCTAAGAAGAGGATATACAATCAATCAACAAATATATGAAAAAATGTTCATCATCTCTAGCAATTAGAGAAATGCAAATCAAAACTACTCTAAGATATCATCTCACTCCAGTCAGAATGGCAGCTATTATGAAGACAAACAACAATATGTGTTGGTGACTATGTGGGGGAAAAGGTACACTCATACATTGCTGGTGGGACTGCAAATTGGTGCAGCCAATCTGGAAAGCAGTATGGAGATTCCTTGGAAAACTAGGAATGGAATCACCATTTGACCCAGCTATCTCTCTCGTTGGTCTATACCCAAAGGTCTTAAAAACAGCATACTACTGGGATATAGCCACATCAATGTGTTTAGCAGCACAATTCACAATAGCAAACCTGTGGAACCAACCTAGGTGCCCTTCAGTAGATGAATGGATGAAAAAAAATGTGACATATATACAAAATGGAATATCATTCAGCAGTAAAAGAGAATAAAATTATGGCATTTGCAGGCAAATGGATGGAATTGGAGAAGATAATGCTAAGTGAAGTTAGCCGATCCGAAAAAACCAAATGCCAAATGTTTTTTCTGCTATAAGGAGGCTGATTCATAGTAGGGTAGGGAGGGGGAGCATGGGAGGACCAGATGAACTCTAGATAGGGCTGAGGGGTAGGAGGGGAAGGGAAAGGGCAAGGGTTAGCAAGGATGGTGGAATGTGATGGACATCATTATCCAAAGTAAATGTATGAGGACATGAATTGGTGTGAATATACTTTATATACAACCAGAGATATGAAAAATTGTGTTATATATGTATAATAAGAATCATAATGCATTCTGCTGTCATTTATTTTTAAAAATCAATTAAAATTAAAAATAAATAAATGAATAAATAAAAAATAAATAAAAAAGAAAACAAAAAAATTAATTGTAATATAAAAAAGAAGTCTCATTAATTTATAATTAAATTATTCATCTTTCTATTTTTATTCTTGAAAATATTGAAAGTTTTAAAAAAAAGTTTCTCTCTGATAAGCTAGTATCTGTTTTGTTTTCCCACTTTCCTGTTTCTTTAAGTGCCTGATAGCTTTTTATTAAGTGCCAACAAGTGTAGAAGCTCCAGATGATGCTATCTTCCTCTAAAAAGATCTATTAAATAGATTATTGTGAGTCCCTTAGGTTTGGTTGGCTCTACCACCCTGGATTCCTGCATAAGCCGATTGAAACCTAACTCACTGTGAATAGGAAAACAAATCTTAAGCACAATTAATTAGAAACCATCAATGAATCTTTACATGGGGACTTGCCACTGGAATGGTCTAAATCAGGCTGTGGCTTCACTGTAAACCAAGCAAATATACTCTTTTGCTTTACTCCTCCCTCACCCTATACAAGCCTTCCCCATATGCCCCTTTAGAGGACCCCAAACCCCATGAAGTCAGTTAATGCCTCAGTCACAAATCACCCTCTGTTCAAATCAACTCTTTAAAATTTTAATGTGCCTAAGTCTATCTTTTGACAGGACATACTTTTGATTTGGGGAAGCTATAAAAATAGAAGCAGATTCTCACTGTTGAATACAAGATGGATCTGAATGGAAGCCGGGTTTGTGTTGGTAAGGACTATGAAGGTTTCCCTTAATTCTAGGGTGGATCCCTTTAGAACCTTGGTGGAAACATGGAGGTACTGATCAGAGCCTCTGATTTCAGTCTGGTTAGTAACGCCTATTTTTGTCTCCCTACTGTTGTGAGACTGCTATCAACTGTGCTCAGCTTCTTGGGATTTTAGTTTCTGCTTGGCTTCTCAGTCTTCCAGTTACTGGATAGAAATTTGTAACTACCTCAGGGGGGAAACGAAGGAACCGGATGTGAAGCTCACACCCATCTTGTCTATGAGCTTGGTCTTCAGGTGGGTGACTGAGTTCTACTTTCACCTAACACCCTCAGCCATCTGAAAGAGCGACTCCTTTATTCTTCCATGGCTCTCTCTTGGGAGGGAATGACCTCCCACTTAGTTTTTTTTAGTTATCACT